ACGGAATGGGGATGTTGGGAAGACCTCTAATCCTGACCTTTAAAAACAAGTGTTAGAACAACCCTAGTTTCAAAAAGTGAAAGAGTATTTCTTAGCAAATCTAACTTTTTAAAAAAACAAATTTGGCTTAGATCCAGGTCAGAGTTTCTTAGCCAAGGAAATACAGTTTTTGATTGTACTTCAATTATTTTCATTTTTTAAATTCTGAAACTGAAGTTTGGTTCTGCTATATCCCAAGAGAAGAAAATGGTCTCAAATGAAAGAAATAGCTCAACAATAGTTTGCAGGAGTACGAAACAGCTAAGCATTAATGGACTGGGAAGAATACACTGTAGCATTATCAGCAATAACATGTTCTACACAATTTGCTGTAGGAGATTTGTAATAGCTGTCTGCCTGGTGCCAAAGTTTAGGTGTGTCTGAAGTCACTTCACCTGGGGGATTTTTTTTGTTGCTTAAATGGCAGAGGAAGTGCTATTTGGAGATCTTGTCCTTATGTATGTGATAAAACAGTTACAAGGAAACCCATGTGAAATTGTTTGCTGTGTCATGTTCCCTGTAAGTTGTGACTGGATTTTCCAACCCTCTTTCTCCAACCTGACTTCCTTTTGAACTCAGTAACAATACAGCCCTCCACAGTATGACTGAAGTGTTTCTTCCTTAGAAAATCTGATGCAAGTCCAGTGAAAGCCAGTGAGTTCGGTGTGTGAGACAGCTGCTCCTACATCAGCCCAGTGGCTTCTCTTCTGCACTTTGCGTAGGGGATATTAGTATAAACCATGCGGATTATTTTGGAAGGAGCAAAAAGGTCATTTCCTGAACAGACTCTCTTAAGTTACATTGTCATTTATCAAAAAAATATGCGTCTGCCTCCAAGTCAGATACTGGACTCCCTTTGGAAATTCTTTTTTTGCTGAAGCGGCAGAAATCCAAAGAAATTGTTCAGTACTTCAGTTTCATGACGGCCCTCACTACTGTGTGTTTCCCCTACCCTTATCAACATTGGCTCCACGCCAGTGCCGAAGTATGCGGTACTTAGTGTAACACACAGCAGTTTGATAAAACGGGATGCTCCCTACGAGGACCCTCCCAGGACGCGGGAAGGCGCACGGGCGGTAGCCGCATGCTGGACAAGCACACGGCTGCATTGCTGCTCCCCTCGGCAGAAGAGACAGCTTTAACATCTCCTTCCCAAAAGTTGTATAAGTTCAGACAGCCGAAAAGCGCCCTCTCCCTGCCCCAAACGCCCTCTGCCTATCGCTTAGACACCACCAGTGAGCACCTGGGGCAGGTAACCCGGAGCCGCTTCGCTGCAGAGCCGCGCCGGGAGCGCTGCTGGAGGCTGCAAACCCCCCCGGGCTGCTCCCACCGCCGGCACCGGCGCTGCC